GCTAGCCTTGAGCTGAAGAGCTGAGGGACAGCGCCCAGGCCCAGAGTTCAGGCCCCATGACCGGACCCAAAAAAAAAAATAAAGAAAAGAAATTATTGCTTTCATTGCCGAGCACTAGTGGCTCACACCTGTAATTCAAGCTATTCAAGAGGCTGAGATCTGAGGATCACACTTTAAACCAGCCTGGGCAGGAAAGTCTGTGAGATGCTTATCTCTAATTAGGGACACACACACACACACACACACACACACACACACAGAACTAGAAGTGGAGCTATGACTCAAGTGGTAGAGCATTAGCTTGGAGCACAGAAGCTCAGAGATAAGCACCCAGGCCCTGAGTTCAGGCTCTAGGACTGGTACACGTGTGTGTGTGTGTGTGTGTGTGTGTGTGTGTGTGTGTGTGCCCATGCACACAGACACACATACACGGAATTAAAGCTTTCTTTAGTGTTGCAACTTTTCTTTCCTACATGGGTGAGGGGCACATATGGAGGATGGATGGCTGGAGCATGAAGAAATCTAGGAGCACAAGTTTGTGTGCTTTACCTGGTATGGGGATAAAGGGCTTGCCATTCGTTCCTGAGGCAGAATAAGTTCTGAATGTGGCCATCAGGCATGTCATCCATTCCCAGTCCCAGAGTCACTAAATCCTAGGGATCATTTGATCTTACCACCCCACTTTACAAATACATAAATTGAGTGGGAGACCTTGTGGATGGCCTCAGCTCTGAAACAATCGTCTCTTGATTGCTAAGAACTTGTCAGTTCCAAAACTTGGAAACAGTACTGGAGGGAATGTTAAGAGCCACAGGCAGCTAGCTGACCATGGTGCTTAACAGCCCCTACTTGCTTTTCTAGAGCAGCAGGTATGTGAATCTATATGCCCGATTCTTTTAACTTCAAATGAATCTTCAGGGAACCAGTAACTTATGCCTGTAATCCTAACTACTCAGGAGGTTGAAATCTGAGAATCACAGTTTAAAGCAAGCCTGGGCAGGAAAGTCTATGAGACTTGGATCTTCAATAAACTGCTAAAAAAGCTTGAGTTGTGGCTCAGGTGTTAGAGCACTAGCCTTGAGCAAAAGAAGCTCGGGGGCAGTGCCCAGGCCTTGAGTTCGAACTACACACACACACACACACACACACACACACACACACACACACACACGCACACACACACATCCTTCTGTGAGTGAAAGTATCACAGAGGAATATTTTGAGAGTTGATAGCCATTAATCTAGAAGTAAAGTGTGTGTGTGTGTGTGTGTGTGTTTAACATGAAGGGATATACTAAACCTTTATAGGTCAAAAGAACCCATACATTATTTTTATGGTACCTGGCATTGAACCCAGGGCCTCATGGATGCTAGGCAAGCATCCTGCTACTGAGCTATATTGGTACCAGAGAGTTGAACACATCCAATCTAACACAGTGCAGAGCTAGAGTAGTTTAGAGGTAGAACTGTGGAGTTTGTAGAACTGTGGAATTAGGTAGTACTGGAATTAAATCCCAACTTTTCTTCTTACAACTCTGGACAAATGAATCCATTTTTTTTTCCTCTAAAGCACAGATTCTTTTTTTTTTGTTGTTGTTGTTGGTCATGGGGCTTGAACTCTGGGCTTGGGCAGATTCTTTTTTTTTTTTTTTTTGGGTCCGGTCGTGGGGCCTGAACTCTGGGCCTGGGCGCTGTCCCTCAGCTCTTCAGCTCAAGGCTAGCGCTCTACCACTTGAGCCACAGCACCACTTCCGGCTTTTTTCTTTTTTCTTATGTGGTGCTGAGGAATCGAATCCAGGGCCTCATGCATGCAAGGCAAGCACTCTACCAGTGAGCCACTAGATTCTTCTCAGCCTACAGATTCTTTTTTTTAAACTGATAATTATTTATTATTTGTAGCAGAAGTTTACATAAAACTTGGACATATAAAGTGTCTAATGGCTCTGGCAGTATATATTGGTATTCCTTGTTTTTTTTCTAGGTGAACTAGAGCTATATCCAACTCTCTGTTTAGAGGAAGCAATGCTTTCCAAAATTTATTATTTTTTTGTTTCTTTTTTTTAAAATAAGTTTTTTTATTGTGAAAATACAGTACAGAGGGGTTATAGTTACATGAGCAAGGTAATGAGTACATTTCTTATCAAGCATTGTTGCCTCCTCCTCTGTTTTTCCTTAAAATCCCTTCCCTCCCATCTCCTCAACTACCTTCCCCCCCTACCCCTTTCCTTCCACCTAAATTGTAAAGTTCGTTTTTTCGACATAGCGTCATTGTTGTAATGGGTCAATCTGTATCCCTGTTTAAACATTTTGTTTTTTCCTTTCCCCTTCCCAAATTATACCAACATCAAATACAGTGAAAACAGAGGTTATACCATGGGTGAGGGACATACAAAGCAACAAAAATCACATGGTACCTTATAAATACGTTAGAAGCAATAGCAAGCAAGAAAAAACCATTTGTGTCCTTGGTGTTCATTTTGTAAAGCACCGGTTCTTGATGAAAGAGTATTCTAAATGAGAATGCACCTCTTATAGCACTGCTGGAAACATTGGATGAACTAATGGTCTACCATAATATATTCTGGCCATATTGTCATGGTCATGATTGATTTCAGGATAGAGTTTTTAAAATGAACTGCCCTGGACAGGGACAAGGGATAGGTGGGTACATTATCAAGGCTGGAGAATCCAAAGTTCATGGTAACATTTGAATTCTAATTTTTGTGAAATGAATTGATGGTGAATCAAACTGAGACCCTATTCTAGTAAGGGATAATAAATATTTTTCTCCAGGGGCCATGCGTGTTACCATTACTATTCTCTGAGAAATAAAAGCATGAAGAAGACTACACCAGGAAAGCTACACCAGCATCCTTCTCATTCTCCCTAATCAAATCAAATTGACCATATTTTATTTATAAATACATTTCTCTAGTTTATCTATCATTTTTGTACCATACCATCCTTTCGTTCTTTCTCTCCCTCCCTCCCTTCCTCCCTCCCTCCCTCCTTCCCTCCCTCCCTTCCTTTTGTAAGTACTAGAGCTTGACCACAGGGCCTAGGTATGGTCCCTGAACTTCTTTTGCTCAGGCTAGTACTTTGCCTCTTTGAGCTACAACTCTACTTCTGGCTTTTTGGTGGTTAATTGGAGATAAGAGTCTCATGGACTTTCCTGCTGGTCTGGCTTTGAACCTTAGTCTTCAAATCTCAGCCTCCTGAGTAGCTAGGATTACAGACATGAGTCACCAGTGTTCTTTCTTCCTTTCCCTCCCTCCCTCCCTCCCTCTCTCTCCCTCTCTCCCTCTCTCTCTCATCAATTATTATTTGATCTGTTCTGTAGAACACATTAGTCCTGATAGAGATAAATCTCAGCTAGGGGAGAACAGTGGAAGGGGCGACATTGATTAAGATGTATTGTACAAATAAATAGATACGTTGAAATGAAACCCCTTTGTACAACTACTTAAAATATTAATGAACTGTAATCCCTCTTTACAGTATCTTTACAATAAAAATATATATTAAAATATTAATTTAAAAACTTGCTAGGTATTGGTGGCTCATGCCTATAATCTTAGCTACTCACAAGGCTGGGATTTGAAGATTGTGATTCAAAGCCAGTCCAGACCAGAATTCCATGAGACTTTTATCTCCAATTACCCACCCCAAAAAAGCCAGAAGTAGAGCTGTGGTTCAAATGTTAGCCTTGAGCATATAAGCAGCGCCCAGGACCTGAGTTCAAGCCCTAGAACTGGCACAAAACCCCCCACAAACCAAAATTAAAAAACTAAAATCTTAAAAAAAAAACAAACCAGTCTCAGACTTGCTGATCACAAGGCTGCAGGGTTCATCTAATGACATTGTCTTGTCCTGAAGTTCATTTGACTATGGCATATATTCACCTGAATATTTGAAAGTATTTCAATTGGGAAAATTCTGCTGAAGGGTAGCTGCCCTGTGGTGTGTCACGATAGGCCTGAAGCTTTTTTGTTTCTGGTCATTTTGGTTTTGTATCTAATAATCCCCTTTTTCTGCCTTTCTCTGAATACAGATGTTCCCCAGGAAAGAAAAGGCTGCTTCCGGCGAGCCTATGACCTGTTTTGTGGGCTGGACCAAGACAAAGGACCCAAGATGACGAAGGAAGAGGAGGCTGCCATGAAGCTGAAGATGACGGACACCTCTGAGAAGCCACTGTGGAGGACGGTAGTGAACATCAATGGCATCATCCTGCTGGCCGTGGCCGTCTTTTGCCACGCCTACTTCGCCTGATTCTCCTTCTGCTGTAGGTTCCCCAGAAGCCGGGCTCTTCCCTCGACCTCCCTTTACTCCCATTCTGTGGTTTTGAAGGGAAATCAGTCCATTGTAAATTTTTTCCTGATTGGAGAACCATGTACATGTGTAATTATAGGTTAGCTGGAAGAAAAAAATCATTGTTTTTTTTTCCCCCTGTTAACTTATGTATTTGTAATGAATGTGATACAGTGATTTGTATATGTAGATGCTAGAGCTGCAGAAGAAAACATGAACTCAGGTCAGTCCAGAAAAGAGCCAGACTCAAAAACAGAAGTGATGCCCAATCTAATTTGGTCTCAGAGACTAAGTTTGTCAGCCCTGTGTGTGAGCCTTAAATAATGCTTTTTAGAATTTTGGTCTCCTTTGTTTCTACAACTTTCCCTATCTGATTTCTAATTTCTCTCATTCCCACTTCTTCCATTCCTTTTCTCTATCTTTCTTTCTTTCTCTTTCTTTCTTTTATTTCTTTCTTTCTCTCTCTCTCTCTTTCCTTCCTTTCTTCCTCCCTTCCCTTTCCTTCCCTTCCCCCCCTTCTCTGCCTTTCCCCCCATTGTCACATACTTTCCAAGTTATTTTCCCTCAGAACAAGAAAAGTCAATTTGATAAATTCATGAATGTGTGCATGCTGAGGATGGGGGCTTGTCTAGGGATTCCATCTTGGAAGCAGGGGGTGTCTGGAAGGAATTATTTAGCCCAAAGTCCGAGTCTCAGGTTCTTATGTCAGACCAGTGGAAGAAGCCCATAATCTTGAGTCCAGGGAATATTCTGCTCTATTATGTGTTAGCCTTGTTTAAAAATTCATTCATTTTTGACATTTGCTGTGCCTGGAATAACTTTGTCACTCAGGGAAGTTTGTTGCCTAAATGACTAATAAAGGAATTATTTATAGATACTTGCCTTGTCCTTTGTTGACTTTTTTTAAAGTGGTGGCCAAAGAAAGCATAGCCTATGGTATGGTGGCCGTAGTGAGTGGGAATACATTTCCAGTGGCAACTCTGCCTCCGGTGTGATATTAATGTTGATATCTGCACTTTGAAGTGGACACCATGTCACGTGACAGAGTAAACGAACCTGCTGATGCATGGAACTAATTGGCCTGAGGTCCTCCTTCACAGCTGTTCAAGGGGCTTTGTTTTTAAAATTGGTAACCATCATTGACAAAGCCTAATCTCTTCTTTTTGGGTGTCTTTTAGCCAAAAAGGAGTATTTAAAAAAAATCAGTCCTGGGTGCTATCCCTGAGCTTTTATGCTCAAGGCTGCACTCTACAACTTTGAGCCACAGTACCATTTCCAGTTTTTTAGGAGTTAGTTGGAGGTAAGAGTCTTATGGATTGTCTTGCCCTGGCTAGCTTTGAACTTCGGTCCTCAGATCTCATCCATCTGAATAGCTAGGATTACAAGCATGAGCCAACAGTCCCAGCTAGGAGTACATGTTTTGTTGCACCAATTTTATAAGAAGAAATCCTTCTTTTTTCAATTTAATTTTAATTAAGTAAAACTTCCACCTGTGAAATCTTAATGATCTTGTAACATGATCCCACTGATGTGAGAAAAAATCAAGATGTTCAGTGTTATTAATTTCAGGTTAGCTTAGAAAAGAGCTTGAGAGGGAATCCTGGATATAGAGATGGCTCAGCAGGAAGAGGAATACTTTCTTTTTTTCATTGGTTGTGGGGCTTGAACTCAGGGCCCAGGCACTGTCCCTAAGCTTATTTGCTCAAGCGGAATGCTTTACCATTTTGAGCCATAGTACCACTTCCAGTTTGCTGGTGGTTAATCAGAGACAGGAGTCTCACAGAATTTCCTGCCTGGGCTGGCTTTGAACTGTGATCCTCAGATCTCAGCCATCTGAATAGCTAGGATTATAGGCGTGAGCCACTGGTGCCTGGCACTTTATAGAGGATGGAAACTCAGAGAGCACTATTAAACTCATTCCCCTTATGTGAGGTAGGGAAGATGGCAAAATGGAGAATTTTACATGGCCAATATTTCTCAGAGAACTCTGTCTTGTGTTGAGTTTGTGGTAGCTTTGGGGCTTTGGAAGGACAAAGGGAGAGGATTAAACACTGGTGAATAGAACAAGTGGTATAATTTTCTAGATTTCTTGGGATTCAATTTCTGATTTTGTGGTGTAATGGTTGGAAGTTATTTTGTCTCAACTGTGTATCAGTGGAGAACCTTGGTTCCTGTGGCATCTGTCTACCTCATGTGGTATGGAAAGAACTTTTTTTTTATTGTGAAAATACTGTACAGAGGGGTTACAATTACATGGGCAAGATAATGAGAACATTTCTTATCAAGCATTGTAGCCTCCTCCTTTGTTTCCCTTTCCCATCCCTTCCCATCCTTCCCCCGACCCCCACCCAACCCCCCCGCTCCCCCCCGCCACGAAAGTTATAAAGTTCATTTTCAACATAACGACTTGTACATCTCATTGTTGCAATGGGTCCACCTGTATCCCTATTTAAAGTATTTGTTTTTCCCCTTCCCCTCCACAAATTATACCTCCACAAATTATACCGACATCAAATACAGTGAAAGCAGGGGTTATACTGTGGGGGAAGGACATACAAAGCAACAAAGAAATAATCTTATAAATGTGTTAGAAACAATTGCATGAAAGAAAAAAAACACATTTGAATACATATTTCAGGGTTCATTTCCCTAACATCACCTTATCTGACCTTTTCTGCTTGACTCAGACATATACTAGATATTGCAAAGAAGGGAAACCATGGGACCTATGTTTCTTTGGGCCTGGCTTACTTCACTTAATATAATTTTTTCCAAGTCTTTCCATTTCCTCACCAATGGGGCAATGCCATTCTTTCTGATGGAGGCATTGAATTCCATTGTGTATATATACCACATTTTCTTGATCCATTCATCTACTGAGGGGCATCTGGGTTGGTTCCAGATCTTAGCTAAAGTAAATAATGCTGCAATAAACATAGTCGTGCTGGTAGCTTTAGTATGGTCTTGTTTGTAAACATTTGGGTAAATGCTCCAAAGTGGGATTGCTGGGTCATAGGGGAGCTCTATGTGGAGTCTTTTGAGGAACCTCCATACTGCTTTCCAAAGTGGTTGAACAAGTTTACACTCCCACCAACAATGCAGTAAGGTTCCCTTCTGTCCACATCCCCTCCAGCATCTGTGGTTATTAGAGTTCTTAATTATAGCCATTCTACCTGGGGTGAGGTGGTATCTCAATGTTGTTTTGATTTGCATTTCTTTTATGGCTAGGGAGGTTGAGCATTTTTTCATGTGTCTATTGTCCATCCTTGGAAAGAACTTTTTAAAAGAGGATAGGAGGGGCTGGGAAAGTGGCTCAGTGGTAGAGTGCTTGCCTTGCAGGCATGAAGCCCTGGGTTTGATTCCTCAGCACCACATAAGCAGAAGAAGCCAGAAGTGGCTCTGTGGCTCAAGTAGTAGAGTGCTAGCCTTAAGCTGAAGAGCTGAGGGACAGTGCCCAGGCCTAGAGTTCAGGGCCCACAACTGAAAATAAAAAAGAAGATAGGAGACACATACACAAAATATGTTATGTTCAGCTGGATTAAGTTCCATTTTCACACACATGCATAAATTACTTGATTGTATTTGCCATCTTTCACCTGCTCCATTTAACATCCCCAAGACAGTGTGTTCCACCTTCCTGATATTCATTTTTGTTAAATGTGAACTGTGCAGGTTAATTGTTCAAAGGGGCTTTGCCATGGTATCTCACAAACACATACTTTAATCAGATTAATATATATATGTGTGTGTTTGTGTTTATGTAAATATTTGTATTTTAGTTCTAGCATCCACTCTTGAGAATAAACATGTGACTTTTGTCTTTTGGAGTCCAGTTTATTTTGTGTAACATAATGGTTTTTAGATCATTAATTTCCCTGAAAACAATAAAATGCCATTCTTCTTGTGACTGAATAATATCTATAATATATACATATTAGTTATAATTAAATTATATAAACAACACAATTATGTCATATCAATTTGATATATTATGTAGAATAGAAATGTATCATATATCAATATGATATATAACATAATGTAATATATGATATGCAAACATATTGTATAATATGAAAATATGCAATATATATGCATAAATATATATGCATTTGAAATTTGTTGACAGAATAGATCTTAAACATTCTCTTGACATAAAGTAAGGTAAGCCAGGTGATGGATGTGATAATTGTCTTTATTGTAGTAATCATTTCACAATGTTTACATATATCAAATCATCACATTGCCCACCTTAAATATATACAAGCTGATATTTGCTATTTATGTCCTCATAAATCTAGAAAAAGATTTGGAGCCTCTCCGCCTGCTGTATACAATTGTAAGGAGTCACTTCCCTAGCTACATTAAATTATCAACACTGGTTTTTGTTTTCTTTTATTGACATAAAGGAACAATAAAATAAAAAAAATCAAGTCTGAAGTCACCTCTTTAGATCACGTGATGGAATGGCTAGTCTTTCTTTGGAATGTGACAAACCTGGGAATGGAGAAAATGATATTGTGGTGGCTGAGACAAGAGTTCAGGCAAAGTAACCATAGTAAAACACTGCCACAGCCAGGGCAAGGATGGCATTGACATTCACTACATTCCTCCACAAGGGCTTTTCTGACGTGTCTGCGAGCTTCCTCTTCAGGTCTTCTTCCTCTTCTTTTGTCAGCTTGGGTCCTGTCTTCTGCAAGCCACAGAATAAGTCATAGCCTTTCTTGAGACATCCACGAGGTTTCTCAGGAGCATCTGAAACAAGGAAAAATAAGTCACAACAACAGATAGGAAGTCACACATGTCTATGAAGAATGACTACAACCACTTGGAAGAGCCAGAGGACTTCTGGGGGGAAAATATAGATAAAATTGAATATGTAAAAAATTAAAAAAAAAAGCTGGGCACTGGGTGGTTCACACCTGTAGTTCTAGCTCCTCAGGGGGCTGAGATCTGAGGATTGTGGTTCCAAGCCAGCTTGGGCAGTAAAGTCTGTGAAACTCTTAGCTCCAATTAACTACCAAAAAACTGGAAGTAGAGCTGTGGTTCAAGTGGTAGGTGCTAGCCTTGAGCAAAAGGAAAAAAAAAAGCTCAGAGACAACTCCTAGGCCCTGAATTCAAGCCCCAGGAATGGCACCAAAGAAAAAACTTGCATGGTATAAATCAGAATATGCCAAAGATTTGTACCTGTTATCACAGATGGCTTTACCTCTTTAATATACAATGGATTTTTAAAAAACAAAAAAGAAAGGGCTGGGAAGGTGGCTCAGTGGTAGAGCGCTTGCCTTGCATGCATGAGGCCCCTGGGTTCGATTCCTCAGCACCACATAAGCAAAAAGAAAAAAAGTGGCGCTGTGGCTCAAGTGGTAGAGTGCTAGCCTTGAGCTGAAGAGCTGAGGGACAGAGCC